AACACTCGTGTGGCCGCCTCTTCCACTGCTTGATGTTGAAGTCTCCCCGAGAAAGGCAAGACCTGATGCCATCCTGGTGGATGGAACCGTGCACACAATCCATTTTCACTTCCTGCATCACATTCCTTTTACTCTTCCAGCCACCATTTACGCAACGAATGGTCGCTGCCTTACTTCGCCACTCGCAACTGGCTGACAACTCATGTGGGAAAGGGAATGTGGAGACAGGAAACAAAGACAGAGTGGAGGAAGGAAGTGCTAACAATCCGTCTTCGCCCAACGAAGATGGCAACTGGTGGCTTTTGTGGAAGCCACGCTGACAACTTCGATCAGTTCAAGACTCCTCTCCCATCAACTTACCTTCCTCATGGCAGACAAAATCTATTGCATCATATTTGTTGTTCTACTTGACAAATGACCCAAATAAAATCCACTTCTCTGTAACCCATGCCCTCTGAATGGGTCCACTCATCCCCAATGTCGTCTGCGTCTTGATGGCACTCCCTTTGCCGTCGACTTACCGATTGAATGCATCCCACAAATCCCTTCACCGACTTGTAGGACACCAGTTCTTGGTAGTCTGGAAGGTAGGCGGAAATGCGATCTGGATTGGGCATCCCTCCAACATACAGCTCGTCCATGATTGTCAGCTGGACAAAGCTGCCGTGGGTAAAGGTGTCCGGACCCGAAAACATGCGCCCACCATTGAGACAGATGCTAAAACTTCGTCCTCGTCTTTTGACCCCAAGTGTGTGCCAGGAGTTGAGAGTGAGATTTCGAGAACTCCTTTAACATCAACATCAACAACCGCATGTCATCGCTCATACTTTGTACTTTTGTCGCTAGGTCAGTGAAGGTTGGCAAAGTGGAGAGCTAGATCACCACACAAAGTGCTCTACGATAGGCATTGAAGACGTGAGGCTGTATTGGGTGGGTCAATTAAGGAGGCGTACATTTGCCTACCTTCTGAAGGATGGACCACGTCCAAGATCCAAACTGACAATAATTCTACCCCTCACAAGGGCAACACAAATAAAGTCGCCACGCGTGTCAAAGGAGAAACCGGAGTACAGTATCAGTCCTGTTGCCGCTTTGGGGAGAAAAGTTACTTCAACCAATGTCTCCGTCCACGAAGTGTCTCGAAGTCCTCGCACAGAAAGGTGGGAGTTGCCGAGGAATTCAGGAATGACGGGAACTCGATCTACAAGGGTGGACAACCACTCGGTGAGGCTCCACATTTGCCACAGTTGTTGCCACTATGGCTGGCCTCCTATGCCACGTTAAAGGTTTGAGGCTTTGACGAGGGGATGCATTAAAAGGCACCACAAA